CAGATGGAAATCATTTTCCCACCCCAAAAACAAGGAATTGCTGCGCGTGAACTTCATGCCAAGAAAACATTTGCCCTAGAAAATGTTCCTCATCAAACAGGTCAATACCAAGAAAAAGGAATTCATTTTCCTACTTCCAAGGAAAATTAGGCCATTCAAACAGGCCCTTAACTCCATCCGAATTCTTGTATGCAACTTTTTTCTCTCATCTATTTTACAATTAACTTTTTGATTTAACCCTTTTTTATTTCTATTTTATTTATAATTTTCTCTTATTTATGTTTTGACTTTTGATTTTATTATTTGATTTTAGTTTTTTTTATATGAAAAAGGGAAAATTACCATTTTGCCCTTTAAGAATTAGTCAACAATTGATCAAATTTTAATTTTTGGTCAATTGACGGTCAAACTGACGATTTCTGTCAATTTGGACTTCGGGTGCGAATTGTTTAAATGTTTGGTACCGTAGGTGGCACAAATCAAAGGTCTGTGCAAAGTCTGCAAAAAATGTGAAATATTTGATACCGTGACTGCAATTTTTCCTAAATTACTTATAAAGTATATTATCTTCAAGTGCAAAATTGAATGCAATGTGGCATAAATTGGACCTCTAGTATTGAAAGCACTTTAGTAGTGGTGTGACTCAAGAGCACATAAATTGAATCGAATAACAGCCATTAAAAATTTAATTATAAAATTTATTTATCATTTTTTCCTCATGCAACGTGGCCCAACTCTCTGAATTTATGTACTATAAAAGAATTTATGTTTTATATTTTTACAAATATAGTGTAACATAAAATCCTAATACTTACAGAAAATTATACATTAAAAAATGTAATTTACATAATAAGGAAAAACCAGATACATATTTTGGGAAATTACACAAAAGTTCAAATACAAACAATGATTGGATGATAAGTTAGGACTTGAGAGTTAAAACACATTATTTCAATACCTAAAACTAAAAAATAAAATTATTACTTTATATTGAATATATGACACTCATTTTATCGACCAAGTTCATTGTACCAATACCACAATAAAAAATACTAGAGAAATAGAACATAGTCGCACCGTGCTAAACCCATAAAATCCAATCTTTTGTGTACGATAAGTCTCGTTAAAACTCAATTAATGAATATTCATTTCTCGTAGACAACCAGTGAAATAAGGACCCGTTTGGCAGAAATTAATGGGTTGTTCTCTTTGTGTTTGAGTTTTGTGTTTGAGTGTCAATTTTGAGATTGTTGAAAACGCGTTCTTTTTTGTCATTTTAAAAAATTGTTTTCAAAAAATAAAAAAAATGAATTTTGGCTTGGTTTTAATTGAAAACAGCCAAAACGACATTTTTGGTGTTTTTCGTTTTCTTTGTAAATTTTAAACTCGTTTTTTGGAATTCGTTTACGCAAATAGACAAGTAAACATGTTTTCAGAGTTTTCGAAAACTGGAAACTGAAAATGACATGAAAATAGCAAAAAGAACCAGTCCTAAACTTTTTTTTTTTTGTAGAAGGATTTTCTGAGAAAATTACCTTTCATCGATTTTCTCTAAAAGATAAATCACTTCCAAAAAATCATCAAAATATTTTCAGAAGCATTTTCTAATTTCAAGAACAATTTTTGACTTTAAAAAAGTCTCGACAAACGAGCCGTAAAATTAAGAAAAGAACAACCAAAAACAGATCAATTTGAATGAATTATTAATTCAAAGTGATAAGGTATGTGAACGAGCAGTCAACATCAGCAGGTGAAAAATAAAGGGAAGCATCTTATAAAATGTCAACTTGCTAACTACACGGGCGAATCACTATCTCAAAATAACATGGCAAAGCTTAGCTGGCCTGTCTGAATTATGAACTTACACTCCATACCAGAGGCACCCATTGTCAAGTCAGAATCATCCCAGTTCATCGAAACAAATCAAAACCAAACTCAATGTGTTTCCTTGTTTGGGAGAAAGGGAAGCAGGGTAAACTGATAAACTAAATTGTGGGGCTCACTCCATGTGAGGGGGCTGTGTAATTGACTGTACAACTAGCATTTTTCTTGTAATGAAGTTTATTAGTTTTTTTGTGGGGCTCACTCCATGTGAGGGGGCTGTAAAATTGACTGTAAAAAAAGATTGTAAATGTAGCCTAATTTTCATTACAATTATAGACACGTCTAGGAGGAAAATGTCGATAAAAGATTTGATAAGAAGCGTAAAATCCAATCAGCACCTAGAATGGTAGCGTCGGTAGCCAGAAAAATTTATCCTCGGAATTGCAATTGGAAATGAACCAACTTTGTGTATGAGATATTACACCGATAATGTGCATATTATATTAATCAAGAATATAGCGTGAAATCGAAATATTATTTGATTTACCGAAATATGATTTGAGAAGACAAAATAGTGATTATCAACTTTCAATATATAAATATGGATTCAACACTTTCCAAACTTGAACGCGCGTCATTCTTTAATTCAAACAATGCATGAAAACTAAAGAATATTAGTTACTTACCAAA